GGTAGGGCATGCGGTGTGACCTCCAGAGATGTTCTCGGACGTCTGACATTGTGCTGAATGCACCGCTCCGCAGACAGTTGAGATGCTTCCAAGGGCTGTGGACGAAGAAGGGACACGCGAGTTCTGTAGATCGAGCCAGTCTGAGTCTTCGCTGTGGCGCGTTCGTGCCACGTCGCCGGGAAGCAGGGTGCGTTCGGTTCGTTTTGTCACGCTGTTCCTGCTCTTTCGTCTCGTGAGCAAGGATTTGCCGACTTGTCCGAAACTCTTGGAGAATCTTCGTAGCTAGATTCCTGGCACGGATAACGGTGTCTGCATCAGTTGTGTGGCTCGGTGATGACGGCTCGACCAAGGTCGCTATAGTGTCTTTCGCGGGATTGCTTCCGCGCTTAGTGTCGCTGTCGTTGGACGAATCCGAAAAGAAACTCCGAGGAGACCCCATGGCGATGGTACCGTCTTGATCAGGAGAAGATGGTGGAGTGTCGCAATCGTTTCCTCTAATCGATGTTCGGCCTGCCTCCTCCTCCTGGGATGGACCGTCGTGGTGACATGGTCCTATCCAAGACTTCCCTACAATCACCGGGCCAGAGTGTCTATCTCCGGCCAGGAAAACATTGACAGGGGCGCGTAACTGTGAAAATCTACAAGTAGTGCATTTTTGACGTTCGGCAGACCAGCACAGTGTCGTGCTTGTGTTTCTCGTTGGCAATCGTACATTGAGGTTCAACGCCTTTTGTTGAGGCGTCAAGCTCGTTACGACGCCGTTCTTGTCACCTAGATCAACGGTGACCTCTTCGATTTTGCAGGCCTCATGTGGCGGTGACATGTGGATCACGGATGATGATACACGATGATAACGTCCAGAATCTCCTCGGCGGATCAAAATGCCGCATCTGCTGGCAGAAAATTGGGCGCCCACTGTCCATGGGTTCATTCCAAGGTCGAGAAAGGTGACATCATCGAGCTCAAGACACCTGCCTTTTATAAAGGCGTCCTCGCGGAGTAACCTTGCGGATGAGTCCATCGTGAAAGGGCAACGCCCAAGTTCTGTTTGCCCAAACCACTTGAATTCTTCGACCGAAATGGCGAACAGGCCTCGGGGTAGTTTGTCGTCAACGCTGGTCCAGGCAAACAAGGTCAAATCGCTGGTTGTCCTCAATATCTCCTGCTGAAGACGCCGGAAAGCCGACGCTTCACCCTCGCCATACATGATGGTCATGGAGACGCCAAAGACGCCAAAAAGAGCGTAGGATAAATCCTCGGCGTGGAAATTTTTTTTCCCTGCTGCCCACGACATCTTCTTTGCGACGGAAAGATGTTGTAGGAGACGCGGGTTGCCCAGAACACTTGTTTCAATGCCTGTGATCCGCAATAGCCTGCTCAAGAATTCGGGCGAAGAGGGTTCCCCTTGAAGGTGCCACTTTGAGTCGTAAAAGTAGATTTTCCTGGCGAATAGCATCTCTTGGAGGGTCCAGGACCGAGACCAGAACAGGGACCGTTTCCACCTCTCCTCGGTCTGTTTCCACGCCTCTTCGGCATGTTTCAACGTCTTTCCGCCATATGAGGGCGGCTCGCAAAGTAGGTCGAACAGGTAGACCAAGCAGAGAGATGCTGATTGAACGTATTTGTGGAGGTGATTGATGGTCGTAGCGACCTCGATGGGTGATTCCTTCGCGATGCATAGCGAGTCGATCCAAATATGGTCCACTCCATTCTGTTCTGTAAGAAGACAGGCTTTGTTGATGATTGTTTCGCGGCTTATATCTTGCACGTCGGCCGAGTCATACGCATCCCATTCATCGTGGCCAGGAGTCGAGTACACATGAGAAAAGATGGCGTACTTCTTTGGTGGGGGGAAATCGAAAGTCTCCAGCATTCGGGTGCGGACATCCAAAAGTTTCATTGTGGTATATGGCGATGATGGTGGTGAGGCGGGATGTGAGTGTGATGCATGTATCTGAATGCGTGTGAAGGAGCTAGACGGGAGTGTGAGAGAGAAGAGAGAGAGGCATTGTGGTTCATTATATATAAATAAGAACAGAATGCGCCGCTTTGAAACAGCGGATGCAGCCTTGAGTAGTTGCGTGCACACCTGTGCATTGGGCTAGCGTAGCCTGACATTGCAGACAGCCATGCAGACGCTGCGCGCCCAGAGTGACAAGAAACTGACTAGGTGCCTCTTGGCCTGCATGGTGGATTTGAACAACTTCGAACAGGGCGTCTTTGAAAAGCAGGAGCGCCTCGTCTAAAGTTTGTAGCAGCGTTTGCTCATAGGCCTGCTCAAAATAACATGAACTCATTTACCCAACAAACAAATGTCAAGCTTTATGTGTTTTGCCATTTGAATAGTGTTGGTGCCATGCGCGCAGGTGCATTCGTAACGCACAAAGGTGGAGATGACGAGGATGCCTGCACACATCGAAGGCATTATGTGGTTATGTCCGCGGATGGCCGGGTAGTTGGTTCCTGTCGGATTGGAAGCCCAATTCGACCTCGAGTCAGCGCCAGCGCAGGGGCTACCTGAGGGTCTCTATATCAGCGTTCAACCGGCGATCCAACCCACGGTTGGAACCTCTCTTTTCCACTTCACGCAGAGATCAATATACAGTTCATTGACCCTTCGTCACCACGGTTCGATTCGAACAATCACACCTGTGATACGTAAACCAACAGTTCCACATTGATGATTCTCAGCCTTTTCTGCCTTGACCAGTCCATCATGACCGCTTCCCCTGTACAAGTCGGACTATGTCAGCTGACTTCAGTTGACGCCTAATCGAACAGGAAAACGAGGCTGACGGCTGAGGACCGGCAGGTCGGCTGAACGGCGGAAACAACGAAATTGCACTACATTGGATGAACACTGTTCCGTAGTGAGTTTTCGGAACACGGAGAACCGCGCATTCTCCCAGCCGAGATTAGAACGCCTCAAATTCCATAGCAGCTGATTTGGTTCGAAGTAGACTTGAGCAATCCTGAGCTTTATGGTCCCGCTGTGCGCTGCCTTGGCCCCTAGATGAGCAGAGGAGATCTTTCCGCTTGGCGATGTAGAGCCAATGTTGAGTGAGGCGGACAGTACTTAAGCATCGTGGCCAGTAATAGGCACAGCCTCTCAGACTACCGCCAGGCCAATTCAGTTGTTGCATTGTTGTGCTTTACAGGAGGTTTATATGTCAATGTCATGCCGCCAGGAATGATCAAGTTCCTGGTCTAGTGCCTGCTAGTCTCATGTCGGTTGGCGGCTGGCCGGCTGATGCTCAAGAGAATGAAGTCATTGCTGTCCGTTGCGGTCTGTATCTGACTGTGTTTCCGGAGGTGAAGACCAACAGGATGAGACAAGATGGGGGCGATGATTCTAGGTATTCCCGATGTGCATTGTCTCATCATGCTGCCATCTTGGGAAGCTGGGTTCGAGTGAGGACGACCACCATGGTTCGTCGGGAAAGCAGTCGCATCGCCGGGAACAAGACTCTGAAGATGATTGGTGTTACTTTGGCCTTGGTGACAGGGGATGATAAGGAGACTTTGGCGGCGATGATGCCTCTCAGCTTGTTGTCAGGTCGAATTGCTCAGATGAACAATCAATTTTGGTGAACTCGCTGTGAGGTTGTGGGAATTCTCTGGACAGTGCGACGCTGAGGAGGGCCCTTTGAAGGAGCCTAGGAACCCAGGCTCAATCACATGTTTGAGTCGAATGAGACGTGCAGTTTGTTATCTCACAGGCGGTACATCACACCTCTTCTCACCCGTCGCTCCCTATGGTATTCACTTGAATGAAACTCATCCCGACGTCTCTTTTTTGCTCATTTCGTCTCTCAAAGCCCTCAAGGGTGATGACTGAAAACATCGCTATTTACATGAACTGAGCTAGCTGCGGGTCTCCGAGACATCCCCCAGGTCGGACGGGGCGCTCAGGAGCGAGAGAACTAGAGGCGGCTGATGAGATTTTTCAACAGTGAAAGAGTCAACAGCCCTTCAGCTCGACCAAAAGCCCCTTTTCAAACAATCAATCAACCCCGAAACCAGCATTCAACATAGCTCCCGCCTCTCACGGCCATATCCTGACGCTCTCGTGCCTGGACAAGTCCGGCATCGTCCGTGCCTTGACGGGGTTTTTTGCGGCCGCGAAGCTCAACGTCCTAGACCTCCAACAAGTTTCCGACCTCGTCTCGGAAAAGTTTTTGGTGCGCGTGCACTTTGGGCCGACCGAGACCGAGTCGACGGAGCATCTCAAGGGCCCGTTAGACGCCCTCGCCGCCGATGTTCAACTGGACTGGTACCGCATCCGGCCCGTCACCAGGAAGCTGCGCACCCTGATCCTGGTCTCGAAGATCGGACACTGCCTCAACGACCTTCTCTTTCGCGCAAATTCGGGCCAGCTGCCCATTGATATCCCCCTCATCGTCTCCAACCACAACGAGTACCAGGGCACGGCCGGCAACTACGGCATCGACTCCCACCACCTGCCTGTCAACAAGGACACCGAGGACGAACGGGAGGAGGCCATCCTGCGCCTGGTCAAGGAGAACGACACTAAGCTCGTTGTCCTGGCCAGCTACATGCAGGTTCTCACCTCTCAGCTGTGCGCAGCCATGTCCGGCAAGATCATCAACATCCACCACCCCTTCTTGCCGTCTTTCAAGGGCGCCAAGCCCTACCACCAGGCCTACGAGCGCGGCGTCAAGATTATTGGCTCGACGTCTCACATTGTCACGGCTGACCTAGACGAGGGCCCAATCATTGAGCAGCGCGTCGCCCGAATTGACCACTGCATGAGCCCCAGGATGTGGTCGAGGAAGGATTCAACATTCAGAGCCAGTTCCGGCCGCTACGGTCGAGTGGACTGCCGAGGGGCGTGCGTTCCTCAACAAGATTAAGACGGTCTAAACAAAGGAATCGTAGAAGTGGATTTTCTTGGCCAATACCAGCATTTGGCAGGTCCAGAATCGAGACCAGAACAGAGGTTCTTTCCACATCTCTTCGCCATGTTGGTTCCTACGACCGCCCACACCAAGTTTTCTCTCGTTGTTGACGATAAAGACGCCCAGTGTGCTATTTGCTTACTTGCGCCTCAGGGCAGCCTCACTATAACGATTACCATTAGGATTATAAGCCCTTGAAGTCAAAAGGCTAGCGCACTCCTTTGTCTGGAAAGAAGATAAAGGTTTCATATTGAGCTGGGTCATACTTCAGAATGGCTACACGTTCGGAGTACCAGGCGTTAAACGACCGGAATGTACGCTCTATAGCTTCTAAAACGTGACCAACCTATAATCTCGCCTGCAGTGGACATATTTCATTCGGCCTGATGTGAGGGAATCTCTACTGTGAGGCCTTTATAATAGGCGGCCTGCCCGATGTTCCCTAATCTTTGCCGTTCAGAAAGGCCAATTTCACCTGAGCCGCGAGCGAAAGTCCCTTTGCCTTGGTTCCCCAAACGTTGTGGGGTGACGCAGTTGAGCCACATAGAGGGGGTGGCGTCAGCCGCTAGCCAATTGACGCTGACTTCCGCTCGTCAAATGCCAAGTTTGTGTGTCCAGGCGCTCAAGTTTGAGAGCTGCGTGAAAATGTTCTCTACTTCGCCGGAGATATGTACTGGAAAAAGGTCAGTCTGAAACACATTGCGTGAGTTTCAGTGATTTGGTCGTTGTCATGCATTGTTGACTGCTACTGCAGTACGGCCAGCCTTGAAGGTAACTATGTTGAACGAGCCACATTTGGCTGGAGTACGAGGTAGCCAACTTCATTTGGGTTCGAAATTGGCTCCAAGGTCCTAGACCATCTGCCTCGGCCTTCCGCGGGGAGAGCCAGCTTTGGCTTTTGCATCAGTTTACGCTCTGCAGTTCACATTTTGTGACCCACCGGCTTTCTAAAAAGTCCAGAGGACCAGAGGACTTAACTAACCGCAAGATAAGCTGCAAAATCCAGTACTGGCTGTGAAAACCATCTCATATAGGCGTCTGAGTGAAAGTGTGACAGCATAGCTGGCTAGCTCGGCTGACTAAGGTGCACTGCGCAAAGCATGACCAGCCTTGGTCAATCTGCTGGGTAGTGCGCCACATGCAAGCTTGCTCACAGAAACTGGTGGAACTGGATGGAGGCTGAGAATGCTGGCATGTGAATGCGATTGATGATGACAGCAACTCCCATTCCCCTGCGCCGTCTTCTTCCGACAACGGTATATCGCCGCCTGCAACTTTAGCCCACAGAAGCCGGTTGAGACCCGCCGGTGCCGCCCTACCCTTCGTGCTGTGCGCTCATTAAGAGCCAGAGCGGTCGTATGAGGACGAGCCTACCATCCGCTACAGCCTTGAGTATCATCTATCTGTGGAGAACTGAGAACAGCGGGCGGATCAGAGCTTTAAGCGGTGAACGCAACTTCCGGAAGCACGTCCATCCAACTCAAGGTGACAATCCCTTGAGGGGGCCCTCGAATACCTTGGTACCAGCTTTTGCTTCACAGATCTCACAGTAAACCTTTCTATCAATCCCATACGCTGGCATGATCTGGCTTTACTCTTGAGACGCTTTGCGTGACCTTTTCCGCCCAGCCGGCTCCTTTCAGAGCTCGAGATCTTTGCCTCGGTGTTAGGTACATCATAAAAGGGGTGCCAACGACGAGCCTCAGAAGAAAGCCATGGATACATGGTTAGACTTGGCACGGCTTAACACATTCTGATGTATTCCTATCCAACCTATTCTTTGTAATGATCGTCCCTATAAGATGGCTGTATGACGAGGACGTTGTGCAGAGCTGCCGCCTGATACTCATGCAAGTCCACCCCGCCTGTTCAAGATCATCACCCACTTTCATCAGCAAGGTTTGGACGTCGGTACGGGAAGAGGACCTGCGCCGTGTGAGGGCGATGACCTCCTGCAAGCCTACGTTGCAGACTGAGTAGGGATTTGGCGACGGCCGTCCAGAGGCCGCAGTAAGAGACACCAGTTTGTCACCTATCCAACCCAATGGTTTTTCGCAAACCTCTGAGCCATCTTCAGTTATTGGAAACGACGAAAGTAGTCTGGATAAGGCCAGCATGCGTTTCAAAGGGGCTGGAGTTTTGATGGTCTCGGCGATCAAGTGGGTCGGCGGTGTTCTTCCTCTTGGGAAGATCCATAAGCAGCTTCCGCTACTAGGTTCCGCTCGGCAGGTGGCATCCAGACGGACCTTGGAGGACTATAAGCGGCTTCACGCAAGGCACGCCTCGGACGTTCATACCTTGCCAAGCAGACACAGACGAGGCATGAGTAGGGCGGAGAAGAATATATGATTGAATAAGCAAACAATGGAGTCGTGGTCCAAGAACAATAGGACGCCATGAAAAAGTTGCATCGTCATTGTGTTCAACACCTGTTATGTTGTTAGGTTTCCAAGAAAGGGCCGAAAGACAGATGAGCTGCCGACGTTGTTGTTATCAATGAGGAAGGCCACTTTTGTTGCCGGCACGCTGTCTTCTTCCTCTAGGTGCCGTAGTATTGCACCTCGAAGAGCATCGAGGAATAGATCGAGCCGAAACTTGTCTGGGGCCCAGTTCTCTTCGGTCCCATATGTCAAGCCCACATCTTCAAGCCTCGCCTTAAGCCATGGGGTACTCTCGCAGTCACTAGAAAACTTCCTTCGTTCGAACGACCGCTCGGGCCATGCAAATGCTCCTCCTTGTTGGGCTCTATTCGGGACCCGCACATCCATTGGCTTCGGTGGCTCCATGGGCTCAGCCGGTTCTCTTCGGGATGGCGCGGGTTGGGGCGAGAGACGACGGCTTTGAGTCGTCTTCATTTGGTTCACTCGCGTTTTGGGTTTCGTTGTCGATCATACTCCTTCTCAAGAAGAATGGCTTGCATTTCGCTTTGTGTTCCTCTCCGTCGAGCTCGTTGATTATTGCTGAAAACTCCCGTGGTGGTTTTATGTATACCAGACGAACCACTTCCCGATCGAATATTCAGGCCCTCTCCGTCTTTCTCTGTTATATGTTGTTGTGTTGGTTGTTGGGAGCGTCGTGGTGTAAGTGTTGACGCGTGTGAAGCCTTTCGACACGGCAGCGCGAACACCGGGGGTATCCGCAATGAACGCAGGGATCGGTGACAACGTTCATGCCACCTTGACCACAGTAGCACTGTATCTATCGTCAGCGACGACCGAGTGCGAGGAGGGCAGCTCCGTGGTGGAAGTCTGCGTAGAGATCTAGGGATGACGCACACAGGTCCACCGGAAAGTGTACTTTTTGCGCGGCGGCTATTGGTGGGACGGCCCGTTAGTGGCTGAGAAGTTGATGCGCGAGGAGGTATTCGGCGTGGCGGATATTACGAAGAATAGAAAGACGCGGGGTTGCTGTACCATGGTGCGGATCCTCCTCTTGAAGCTCGTGTCTAGAAAGCGACCTATTCAACGTTTTCTACCTCACAACACCATTTTGCGTGTCGACTGGAGTTCTGCAGACCGACTGATTGATCACGCGAAACGCTGGCTTGCAAGACCAGGGCGGTCCAGCGATGGTGGGTATCGAGGGCCGTAACTATTCGGATGGTGTGGAGCTATCGGAAGGATTGGTCAGGCGTCCAGGCTGCCCGGTCGTAAAAAAGCGACCAATTGGGTATTATAGATGGAGAAAAAGCAGTTTCTTTCGGAGACGCTTGGGAACGCACAGTGTGTTATGCCGATCACAAAAGATGAACGCCCCGGTCGCGGGCTTGACCAGCGACAAGACTGCCGGTGCCCGGCAAGGGTTCCCGTTGTCCCTCTCTGCGAATGGCCAGGGGCGCGTCGCTGCTCGGTGTCATGTACTCTGTACTTGGGCTTTGGCCCAGGGGCGCCCCGGAGCCATTCGCCGCACAGGCCCTGTTCAACATCACGACTGGTCGCCATCGCCCCGGCCCCTGCACGGCTAAAGCACCCGTCCTTTGGCAGCAAGCGGAGGGCGGACAACTTCTTTCGGGGGTCTCTCTACGGGCGCATCGTCTGAGCATCACGGACAGGGTCCCCAGCCCTCAGAGAGGCACCCTGGTTCCACGCCCGTAGATCCGCTCAGGACAGCATGCACTCTATCGGCAAGAACATGGGAATGGCGCCGAGCGGGCCATACAGAGAAGGGTGGGCAGCTGTGGCGCCTGGTTTCGCTGGAGCCCCCATGCTTCGTTCACCACCACGAAACTGATTGCGATGCGCCCAAACAGGAAAGTGCTTCCGCCCCGACCGAACTGCACAGTCGCAGCAAGACGAGCCCACGTTGGCCGGGGTCGGCCGGCGCGCAGCTCGTGCCCGCCATGCTCGAGCCAGTCGGCCTGGGTGAACCGTTCCGCCAACGCGGGCGCCATTCTGTCGGTGTCCGCTGAGAGCATCGAGGGGAGACATGCTGCCCGCCCGATCTGTCGACTGGCCGTTCCACGGCCGTCCAGTGGGGCACCCAATCTCGAGTCGCCGGCTACCCCGCGATTGGCCAACACCGACAAGCGACAACCAACCTTGACATGAAGCGTCAGTGAGTGTTCTGTCGCTGCTTCTCGGAGGTGGAGGGTGACTTGTGCTTCTCGCAGAGGAGGCACCAATCCCCACTGAGTGTTACAGAAGGGCTCTCTCCTCGTCATCGACCCCTTTGCGATTCGTCCTCGCGTCAATCTCCCACGGTATCATCCTCCAGCGCGAGCCTCGAACACGAACAGGCACTTGTGGGGCTTGCTAGACCAAGACACCTGCACCGTCGAACAGGCACTATCGACACCCTTTCCAGTCTTGCAGGGGCGTAAGCAATGCGGAGCGCAGACAGGCGGTCGTGTGTATTGATCCGATCCTGGAAGCCGTGGCAGACCGGGATAATGGGGTACCACAACCATGTCCAATACTTCACGGTTTGCTTCGTCACAGTGGGACTGGTCGCCTGTCCTACCAAGACCACAGGGGTCTTGACATCCTCGAAGTCAACCGGCGGTCTGCCGCACGAGGGCTGAGTTGTTATAAAGAGCGCGAGGAAGGCTCGACTGTCCAGAGCTTTGTTTCCTACCATCGACCACCCTCTCTTGCCTTGCCTCGCCTCCACCTATCACCATGGCTGCCCTCCTTTCCGCCCTTCTTCACGTCTCGTCCCTCGCGGCTGCGGCCTTTACCCCGCCTCAAGTCTCTTCGGCCGTCATCGTAAGGGATGTCGTGGTTCTCGGCGGCGGTGCTTCCGGCGCCCATGCCGCTTTCCGGATCCGCGACGGCAACAGGACCGTCGCCCTAGTCGAGAAGGCAGATCGTCTTGTACGTTTCCTGACCGGGTGATGAAGGGAGAACTGACACGTGCAGGGTGGCCATGTTGCCTCCTTCACCGACCCGCGAACCGGCAAGCTGTACGACTACGGCGTCAACTCGTACACCGACTATGGCGCGGCCCGCGAGGTCTTCGCCCGTTTCGATGTCCCCGTCCAGAGCCCGGCTCGATTGCCCCTAGTGTCCACGTACGCCGACTTCAACACGGGCCGCGTCACGAATTCTTCGGCGCCCGCCCCAGCTGAGATCACAGCCGCTCTTGAGAAGTACCTCGAGATTTGCGAGTTGTACGAGTCCTTGATCAGTCCTTCTTACGCCAACTTTCCGAACACCACTGCCGGCATTCCCGAGGACTTGACGCTCCCATTCCCGGACTTTGTCGAGAAGTACAATCTTGCCGCTGCCGTCCCACGCATCTTCCAGGTCACCGGTCTGGGTATGGGCAACCTCGCCAACCAGACGACGCTGTATGTGATGCAAGCCTTCGGCGCAGACCTCACCCGCTCCCTGCTGGGAAAGGTCTCCTCCTTTGTCCCCGTTTCCCAGCGGAAGCAGGATCTCTACGACGCCATCGCCAGGCTCCTGGGCGACGACGTCTTCCTCTCTTCCGTGGCCGTTCGCACCATTCGGACCGACGAGGGCGTTGAGGTTCTGGTCAGCGGCGCCGACGGCCAACTCACTCTCGTCCGCGCTAAGAAGCTCCTCATCGCCTTCGAGCCCACCCTTGCCAATCTCGACGGGATCGACGTGGACGAGAAAGAGGCGGCCGTTTTTTCCCACTGGGAATGGTCTCACGTGCATGTTGGTGTCGTCTCCCACCCCTCCCTTCCCAGGGGGTATTCTCTCGCCAACCGCGACCCCACCCACTGGCTCTCTCTCCCCGTGACCCCTTCTGTTGGCCGCTTCGACTATCTGGGCGACGACTACTTTCGCGTCTTCGTCACCGGCCCCCCTGGCTTCAACACCTGCCAGGCACAGAGCCAAGTCTACAGGTCCCTGGAGAAGCTCGCCGATGCCGGCACGATCCCACCCATCCGGGGCGAGAGAGTCCAATTTCACGCGTGGTCCGACCATGGTGCCATGCACCTGCGCGTGCCCGGCTCCGAGGTTAGGAACGGCTTCATAACGGGCCAGTACGGACTACAAGGCCACAGGAGCACATATTACACCGGTGGCGCTTGGTCTGGACAGTTCACGGCCATATTGTGGTGGTTCAACGATTGGTATCTTCTTCCCAAGCTGCTGGCTAGACTCTGAGGAGTGACGGCAATGCTGGGCACGGGGACTGCATGCCAAACATATGCAATGATATATCCATGGACGTATATACTCGCTCTCTATTACTTACCTCCGCTACCCCAACGGTTCCTCGTTGCAATGCGATTGTTTTCCGTCCGACGTCTCTATCCTTCACTCCAGTGATCCAGTGACCAAGAACCCAAGCGCAACGAGAAGTGCTCCGGGCCCTAACGGCATCTGAAGTCAGAGAATGAGAGGCGGCACGGTGTGGCCAACTTCATTCGCGGCAAAATTGGACGTGCGTCTTCGTGAATCCGTCGCCAGAACTGAGAAGCCGTGATAATGCTGACCGGATTGGGTAGCCAACCGGTCTTTGTTCAGGGAAGGAGTTGCAGCCATGTCGAGAAACTGCCAGGTGCATTGATCAGGACGATTTGCCCGTCGGTGATTTCATATTTGTATGTTCATTCGTACTAGGCACAGCGACGAGGCAGTTTCACCTCGCAAGGGCGGACAACGGGTAGCTGACGAGGTGCGAGCAGAGTTGCATGATGCTAAAGCCACTGAAGTGTTTCTTCGGTACATGGGCTGGAGTGACACCCTCCACATCGATCGTCCCGCTTCGGCTGCCTCGTGTTCTTATCCTTCACTGTCTCTAGTGACGGTAATCTCCGTTTTCTTGGTGATTTTGTTCCGCGGAATTGACTCCGGGCTGGGAACTGCACTACGCCCGTACCATGCTGTATCTCCGCGGCTGCTACTTGGTTGTCTCTGGAACGATCGCATGCCATACTCACGGTTCGTACTGTCACCGCGCGAAGACAAATGGAGGATTTTGCTGACAAACGGCTTCAAGGCCGGTGCACACGCCGCGATGATGCCGAGTTGTAATTGTACACTGGAGGCATGAGCACGAGGTGATCACGGCAAGAGCATTCGGTACACTCACAAACCCAAGACTTGTATGTTTTGATTGAAGGTCTTGTCCTTGTCCACCTCCAACGCGAGCTGGTATTTTGATTTGATAATGCCCATGATGACGGCGCTGGGAAAAGGTTCAGCCAAGGCTCCTGCCGCTTCTCGACGACGCATACGTACATGTAGCCCAGGCTTAAGATGCCGATGACGTACAGCCGAGCTTTCCGCTTCATCTGGAGGCTCCATACAATTGGTACAGGCAGTGTAGCGAAGATGATATCGGTACCTATATTGAATGCTGGTGATCCGTCAGTGAAACCGCGCAGAGCAAGCCGCTGCCTGTCAGAAGGACGTACCGGTGTTGACTACGCCGAAAACGATGAACGTCTTGATATTCATGCACGTAGGCGTCGGTTTGATGGTCTTGTCCCAGTAACCCTCCATAGGGCGACACATGAGGAAGAAAGGAAGCGTGCCGCCGACGCAATAGACGCAAGTTACGCCTGGCCTCGTCAGCTGATTCATCTCCTGGTTGTGCCCCGTGCCCGGTCATCTTGGGCGACGTACCAATCATTATCCACAAAGTCCATTTGTACCATTTTCTCTGTGTCATGTTCTCACTCAGCCGCAAGAGGTTGAGGGCAATGGAGAGCTTGAGCCACATGAAGGCGAGGCCGGCAGAGACGATCGACTGCCAGAACCCAACTTTCTGGAACATCATGTAATCCTGTTCTGCAATCGTATTGTAGTGCTTTCCAAGGCCGTGATTTGCCTGGATGACGAAGATGATCCAACCTCCCAGAGCAAAGAGCTGGAACGGGCGACCATCAGTACGACGGCTGGGGAACGGTCGAGCGGGGAGAAACCTACTGCAGAGAAAACCATCATGAGATCATCCCATCCCCGCGCCTTCACGACCAAAACTCTGGCATACACCCGCAGGCCGACGAAGAAAAGTGCCACGACGTGGAATGTCGTGACAACGGCCAAGATCCGCGTGGTGTTGCTTTCCGCTGCCCGCGCGGGGTTGCTCTCCGTTGCCCGACTGGGGTCGAACGCCTCGGCAGCCGTTCTCAAGGTGTCGTTCATTGCTGCTCGGATAGTCGAAGTAGATCGGTGGTCGTGGACTTGGATTTGATCACTTTGTGAGCACAGTTCTGAGAGGCATGCCTGACGAAAGGTTCAGCTTTTATATGGACGCGGAGGGGCTCCTGTCACGACTGTAGCGTTGTGTCTCCCGGTTACGTCTGAGGAAATTAAACGTCAAGCGAAAGGGGCGAACGACCAAGTTCCTTGCCTTTGCAATGCGGGCGATACCTGGCGGACCCGGTTACCTCTTTTGGTATCCGGGACAGCGGACGAAGGACGTGTGACAAGTTCCGCAGTGATGCTCTGTCCGGATACCCCGTACAAGCTTGTGCCAAGGTATCTCATCGTTCTCGCACCAATGTAGCCAGCATTCTATGAGACGCCTTATCCAATACTGCTAGACTGACCCTAAGGTTGGTGGCCTACCACCGATCGAGCCAGAGTGGCTCCATGATATTCCCAGTCTGCCTAGCAGAGGGGCCCTTGGTAGAACAATACGTGTGCTTGTGACGAAGTTTGCCTTCTCACTGGAACTGATGGCAAGAATCCAACGCCAATGTCGCTCGGGTTTCTGCCCACTCTAACTGGGACCAGTTTCAGCTCGCGATCCATGCCTCTGACAATCATCCACTGATGCTGCCTCTGGGGGTGTCATCCATCCGGCCAGGTGTATTGCCTCGACATGCCCAGCTGACTCTCCTTGAACGCGGAACCCTGTCATGCTGCAGAAAGTGTTCCCCGTTCCCCCACTGCGCATATTCGGTTGGTCATGCTCTTGGCTGTCTGCTCCCAACGGTCTCGTTACCCTTCCGGGACTAGAACACAAGGACTGTCCGGACCAGATGGCAGTAGCTCCAATCGAGGGTGTGGATGGCTACCCGATGTAGCAGCTAGGAGACAATCAGGCATACTCATCCCAGCCAAACGTGCAGGGTTATCGGCACCTTGCGTGGATCAGAGACTGTGGTACATAGGGTGAAGGCGGCCTCGGTCGACAAAGGCCAATGCTCATTTCGCACTTCCCTTGGTCGGTCAGGGTTGGTCGAAGATCTCATCTCTGGTTGGCGAATCCAGCTGTCGAGTGATGGGTTGGTAGTCCGTGCGCAGATCGCATCCGCCAAGATCGCATCATCCGGTTTTGATGAACCATCTTGCGAGCATCGATGAAGTTACCTTTCGGGAACCCATCACAGCAGGTCTGTCGGCCACTTAATCCAGACGGCACCCTCTACGAGCGTTCCAGTGGAGCATATCCATTTCCGAGGCACCGGCTGTTCCGCGATTGGCCCAGAACAACCAAGGAATACCCCGACACTTCATGTCGCAATGGCAGGGCCTTTATTCTTGCCTCATAGTAGTAGTCTGCTCCTTCAAGACGGATAGGCGACCGTTTCCGAGTACCGTCATCGTAGAGAACTCTTTGTGCAGTGGTTTGCATTCGTCGCCAGGTTCAGGTCTTTCCCCTCAGTCGCCCGTAGCATTCACCAGCACCATGGCTGACTCGACGAGAAAGTAGACATGGTCACGCTGGCCGCTGCACAAAGATGCATATCATGAGTCTCACATTCCACATGCTGTTTTTCAGTCGTCTCTGACCGGCGTGATGTTCTGCCTGCGTACCCTGATATTCTCATAAAGAGTTTGCTTCAACAAGAAGCAGAATGCGAAGGAAGGCGCCGCGGAGATGGCCGTTGATGACATTGCCGGCTCGAAAGCTCAATAGATAGAAGACCCAATGAAGACTGGTTGAGCATAAAGTATGGTCGCTAAACGTAATGGGTGCTTCAGGTGTAGTCACACACGACTATATTTCCACCGTGGTTATCTTCGGTGCTCTCCTGAGGGCGAATGTGTTCTGTCCCGCAATTTGCCTGGCTTTGGGACCGGCGCTTCCGACGTGTTTGGCCATCTCGGGCAGAAGACGACAGCGTCGTGGGTTTCGTAGCAAGGCATGTGCTCGTGTTTATGAGACCAGACACTCTCACTGTCTCCCTGGTCTTCAAGTGATGCTCCATCCTTAGTCACTGACGGTTGATCGGTGGGAGATAGATAAAGTTGTTGTTCTCAGTGCGTTTCTAACCTATAGAAGTCTAGAAAGGCAACGCCGCTGTCGATACTATTCTCCGCTGGCTACTGTCATCGCCATCTCTGGTCCGCGGTCGCTCGACCCCCTCCCCTCGACTTCCCGAGGCTGCCGTGGTGGTCCAAAAAACGGCTTTCGCTTTGATTTGTCTTATGACCTGGCGCATCACCGGCAAATTACCACAGATCACGGCAAGGTTCATCTCAACGAAACTGTGGCGCGTCAGTCCAAGCCATGTCTCTGCGCAAGGTGGCTCACATGAACATCATGGCCAGGGCAGCGCTCCTGACGGGATCGGAACCGCCTGTCAGGCTGCAGAGAAAGTAAAGCCTCGTTGATAGTCAACGAAGGCTCATACGAGGCAGAATCCTTTCGATGGCTGTTAAGTCCGACCTGCCCTGTTCTGGCTGGCGCTCGTGTGTGATGGCGCTCACGCGCGTAAGACAGGTGGAACGAAACATGGCCATCACAATCCCCGTGGTCTCCCGACGTTGGAGGACAAGGCTCGCGATGGGCATTGGCAGTTGCATTGCCGACACATCTCGGCACGTGCGGTTTCAAACTGTCGATGCCAATCCTGTTGGAGCTGGCCAAATCTGCCATCGTCCATGAACCGGCTCGCTTGATATCACTGGCCAAGGATCAACTGCCAACCATTGGATCTGTCTTCCCAATCGCGTCGAGCACCAACCACTGTAGCGTGCGATGAAGTGGTGAAGTTGGCTAGGTTTGACGTGATTGGCCAGCACACGACGTGCCCATCTGGTTAGCGGACAGGTGCAATCGGGCGCTGACTCGTCGCCTCGCCATGTCGGATCTAGGCCCGGACGTGGCGAGTTGTACCGTCCGGTGCCTAAACCCCGCGCGGCGCACCACAGGGTTGCGGTACCTCTTGCCGGAGCGACGCCAGCGGGTGCACGCCAGCCGCGGCCCCTGAGGCCAGCGTCAATCCAGCATGGGCCACACCGAGTCGGCAACTAGACGGCGCGGCCAAGGACGACGGCTTGTCACTGTGGTTCAACTCGGTCGACACCACGGCAGAGGCTTCCCGGTCACTGGTATTCAATTGTTCACTCACGGGTGCTTGGGGTCCAAATTTCATGCACACGTCCTTCCGGCTGGGTGTGCTGGTCGCCTTCATCGCAGGAAAGAGTAGCTCATATTGCACCGTGACGCCGGGATACGCACTGAATAGCGTCATCAGGCAGTTCATGTTGGGTCCAAATGGTCGAGCAGATCAGCGGAGGACCACGTCGGGCACAGACCGCGTGAACTTGGAGCATCGCGGCACCAGGTCTTTTGCCGGTATTCTACACGCATCTATCACTACATCCCTCATCCTCCTGCACTTACAACCAAGACTTTGCGAGCGTGTGACAAGCCTCATCTGCGTGCGCATACCTACAGAAGACGTGGTGGTACCAGGAAGGCGCAACCAGGCGGTCTTCCGGGACAGCCAGCTCGAGCAGTCATACCTATGAAGTAGACATCGCAGTCGACCTGCTTTCTTGTCTTCTATTACACTACCGTGAGTGCATTGTTTGAGTTGGCTGCCGATACATCTGGCCACGGCTCGCTCAAAGTATATCGTTTCTGGAGCTGCTTGCATTCAAGGATAGGACCATGTCTGTGTCGGCAACCTCGGCATGGCCCTGGTGATGGTGCAGCAGCTGCTCCGTTGGGGGACTCCTCAAGCCGTATGCTGCCAGGCTGGTAGGAGGGACGCACTTGACAGGAGAATTTGAAGGCGCCTTACGGGACTTAGAGCCATGGTTACTCACTCTGCGGTCCTTGCTACGACCCTTGATTGCCTTGTTGCTGTTCTTGTAGAGGTTCGCGAATTACCAGTACATCTCGCATGTATCGGCTGACAGGCCGTCGATATCAGGAATGTAGACTACCCAGTCCATTACCTCCATGATTGGTCTGTTTCCAGAGTTGGCCGTGTGGCCATCAGGTTCGGCTGGGTCCGGGCTTCCGTTCCTGTTGCCGGCTGCGGGGCCGTTTGCTCTGGGTGATGTCACGACCACCAATGATGCGGTCTTCTTGCTGTTTGGTTGAATCAGCCAGCCTATGTACTTGACGTCTGCGGTCGAAATGAACGCCATATTGTCCAACGAGAGGTCCTCTCTGATCTGGCTGACGTGATTCATATTCATTGAGCTGGTCCTTATGTGATGCCCCAGCACGCCGTAGATTGAGATACGCATCAAGGCTCCGTTACCAACGCTTTGTTCCCAGTCCTTGGCCAAGTGGCGGAGCGCCTCCGTGTCTTTCGTCGTGGGTCTCTTGATGCTCAAATCATCGCACTTGACTTGATTAAAAGACACTGTCTTGATCGCAAGGCTATGTTGATTGCTCTTCTGTTCGGTGGCGCGGTCTATGTGCCCCTTGAGACTGCAGAGGCATGTGGCTCTTGTCCTGGCGAAGGCGCCAAAGTTGGCATCATGGCAGACAACCCCAGCCAAACAGAATTCTCAGGCCAAAGCCAGGACCCATACAAGCAGCACAATTAAAGAAACCCACAAGTTCATGGAAATGGATGCCGTTCAGGATACAAACGACTGGTCTGCGGTGGCATTCCGCTGATAACTCCTCTAGTCCGGGACTAGCAACACTATAGCGAGTTCACCCATGCAGACGAACGGATCCCGAAGGAGATTGACGAATGAAACTCATTCAGAAAATCAATTGGAAGCTTATGAGCCAGTCAATAGGAGAGAAAATCGTTGATTCAATGGCCTGAACCACCCGTGTAAACGGACCACATGTGGCAGACTTTCTCCCAACCGAGCCCAACTGGATCTGTCTGTAAACTTGCTTGAATAGATTGAGGGCAACAGTCCCAAGATGCCTCCGGATTATGGTATGTGCAAGATGTCTTTCATGATGGTACGCCGGATTAACAGTGTGATTTTGACTGATTGATTTTATCCTGGTAATAATGTAATGATTTGATTTGATTTGATTGATTCCTACTCGGTTTTGGCCGCTTTAGTCAGCAACTATGCCCGGATAGCGGGGTTTGGCCAACAGCCGACGCGCTCCGGATATTAATCCGCAGCGCCCCACTTCGCCAATGCAATACACTGACCAGCTGTCTCCATATTTCCCACTTTGCTCTCCAACCTCTATCTACATTCGGCTGCCACCTCGTGTAGTTCGCGGTTCTCTACTAATGTACACGTATGTCTAGGCTCTATTGAGGTGTTACTCCTCGTGCAACGGTTCAGCGTACCGACAGTCTGCCCCCAATGTTCAGCTTAGTCTGGTGTGTGACTCGATCCCGTGTTGCCCAAGGATCTCGGTCTGTTCTGTGAATCGGATTGCCTTGACGGCTGCTTTGCGCTTGTTCAGTATGACCCGGAGGATAATAATGTAATATTGGACGTTGCCGGCGTCCGTCGCCGATGGAGAAGCGGAGCCGGATGTGGTATTATCCGAGGCGGGAAATGAGCCGACCGGGTAGTCACGTGACACTACACCCCACTCACAGTCACCGTCTTTCCTTCCGAAGCCGCTTCAAGTACAGGATATTGCGCGTTGCAGAACCACGAGTTTCCATGAAACCTGGTGCCCGCGACTCGAAACATCAACTCGTCGCCTTTGAATACCATCAAATCACTTGCCCTTACCTGTCTCGCACGTTCTTTCCAAGGCACCGCCTGCCGCCGCCGTCCGATACGTCCGCTCTATGGCCATCCGACAAGTCGATCCCTACGCGATGCCCACGTTGTTTGCGAATTAGAGCGAGTTGGGTTGCACATCATGCCAAGTCACGATATCCCATACAACAAGCCCGGGTTGCGAAAGCTCATCGATGGTGTCAAGGGAACCCTGGTGCCGGGAAAGAGGGCGCGTGTAGAAGCTGTGAAAGGGGATACTGAACTTTACAGCTACCCATGGGACTACAACAAGCACACCCAATTTGTGCAGGATGTTCTCCGGTTTGAGGATCCGACAATGATCGATACGCTCGTTGAAAGCGATAATCCGAATAGTTTGGGCCCTGCACAACGTCACACAATATCCTACTACATCCGCAAGAATATGGAGCGGTCGGGCCTGCGCTCGCCCAAAGGCTCGGGGCGGTACCATCCTTGTCTATTCTGGCTTAATTCTGGAACGCAGTGGATCCAGAAGGAGCAAATGGCTGTCATAGTACTGATAGAGATGCACGAGCGCGTTTCAGCGAAGGACGATTCGGCGAAGGACGATTCGACGAAGGTCGATTCGGCGAAGGTCGATCCGGCGAAGGTCGATTCGGCGAAGGTCGATCCGCCGGAGGCCAAAATTCTTTCGCCGGATGGCGAGTGGTCAGTGACAGTCCCTTTAACAGTCGGCTGCGTCATTCTACTATACGGACCACACGGTTGGCGCTCAGAGACTCAAGCGATGTCATTTCTGTTTCTATATTACGACATTGTGAAGGATGCGGATGGAGCCAACTCGGCTTCTTGATGCTATGGTATATAGAAGACGATCGATAAGATTCAATTCCAGTGGCAGGTCCATTCACTTGTCCGTCATGTCTGTACAGCGGCGTTTGTATGGCTTAGCCTGCGACTGTTGCTCCATCCCGCCCCATTTGACGTGTTCTGGCCAACCGCCGGAACGGTTCCACATCGCGGGTCGTTTCTAGTAGCTTCGTGGCTCAGCAACATTCGCAAGTGAGGCTGGTTACCAACATTGAAAGAACTTTTCCAGTAGGCAAAGCCGTGAGTGCTCCGTAGCCGCCTGTCGCCGTAATGTCGGCAAAGACCTTTACACAGCGCATCCGTCTAAATGTTTTTTGACCAATCGATTCAGCGAAGGATTGGCGTTCAGTAGATCCTCCTCGAATAGCGCTCGTTTGCCCCTTACATTTCGACGCTGGTAGAGCTCTTTCACACTGAGGATGGATGCAAAACCCCAGATCAATCCGTTCTCTTCCACTCCCAAACGCAGGTACCTAGCCACGTCAAGCGGAATTGCCCCGAAGAATCCCGATGGGTTTTCTGTACACAACCTTTCCTTTTCCAATAGGTCATTATGATCTTTCAATGCCAAACTAGCAGACCCGAAGGACGGCACGGGAGCGGACTGCAACGGGTCAGCCGTGGGATCATCAAGCTTCGTCCGAATATGGCCTCGAACCCATGACGGAAAACAGCAAATCAACACGACGCAAGCATCTACAAGCTGTTTGTGGTCAGCAAGTCCAAAAGTTGGTGGGACCACGCATACCTTCGGGTGCATTCCGAAATTCGTCTTACCATGGCCATCGGCACAAATCACCAGCTCGGCGCTGATGAGAGGGACGGTCGCATCCGCGCCTATCATGCGATGAGTCTGCAGGGGTGAACGGTGATGTGGGCACTTGTCCCCTTGAAGCGAAAGTCGTAAAATTTACGACTTTCGGGCCAAAGTCGTAAATTTTACGACTTTGGCTCGAAAAGGTTTGGCCGGGTGGGGCAGGCTACCACCGCAAGGATGCCAAATAAAAATATTCCACCTTCCGCGGGCGCACCCCACTTGACACTGTCCCTTCTCAGACCGATCTCGTGAATGCTACGAACCTGGCCCAGAACGCTTTGGCCAGGCTGGGGTGGCCGTAGCCGGAACCCATGCATGCAAGGCTCTTTTGCTACTCACACACCCGCCCGCTGAGGAGCTGCAGTCGAGAGCATCTTCGGACTGAACTCGTAATTATTACGAGTTTGCCCAAGGTAGTTAGTCTGGCTTGAGATGACGTGGGCTAGGCCATGTGTCTAGTAAGGTCGTCTGGGCAGACCCTGGGTCAGGTACAGAGACAACAACATCACCCGGGGGTGCTGGCCACAAACCCCACACACAACTAAAGCGACATATTGCGGGTAGATGTCCTTGGGGAGGCAGAGGGAGGATGTCGTCTGGGAGCTCATGATCGACCGATCCAAAAGTGATCCAACTGGAAATGAGTGAAATGAGACACCAGGTCAATTACGTATTCAAGCATCAACAGACTGGAAATGGAAGACAGGCGAGGAAGGCCTCATGCCGTTGCCCGAAGTGACACTCAGGTCATTTTGCTTTCTCAGCTGCCCTACAATGTAGAGCGGTCAAACTTGGATGACCATCGCAGGATACGTTCGTTCGAGCTGGCGAATCTAGGCATTTCGTCTGTACTCCGCGTGGACGTTCTGCTACCATTACCAGCGAAAAGCCCGTGATTTCAGCCAACTGGCGGCTCGACGGGGAGGATCTCCATCGTCGAACAAAGTCATGGCAAGACCGGGGCTCGGATTGCGAAAGAGGAAGGCATGTGCCCTTGCTAGAACACATGAAATATCGTTTTCGACAGAGATTGTAGTGTCTGCCGGTGGTCACCGCAACCAAATCCGACGTGGGAACGGACCGGACGTGATTTATGTGACAGTAACTTTTCAGGGGTCTGCCGCGGTGGCACGGTCCATGTAGCAATGCCATGCCTCCCTAGTGCCACTCCATGAATCGCAGCAGGACCAAACGAGGCAATCCTTGCGTGCGACGGACTGAAAGACAAACAGTTGGCTCGCGGATAACGTCTGGTGAGGAATTCCCACATGCCCTAAGAAACACACCGCATTGCTAGGTCGCTGTTGGCTGACATCGAGCAGACAATAGCCTGTCTTGGCATGCTGTCTACATGCTAGTGTACAGCGACGCAGCGTTTGATGGACAGCCTCCTGGTGTGGCTCTACCTTGGTCGTCGTCGTGGGATGAAGGCCAGAAACTAAGCCTTGCATATCGATGTGAGCTGCAGAGTATACATTGCTCCAACGCCAGTATGCCACTTGGTGGCACTCCGATGATCAGCAAGCATCTAGTTCGGCAATGGCCCCCTTCTGTTCTGCAATCTGACGCGGTTGCACAGTCTTTTCACTCCACGGGTGGTGGCGTAGTGCATGAGCTGGACCCGTTTTGCGAATTGATACCCGAGTGATGTGCTTGTCTCTGCATCTTTTCCTGGCGTTTCTCATCACGACCGTTGTGTCCAGTTTTGTCAGTTCCGCCACACGCAGACGACTCGGCTTGATCGAGATCTGACGCACACCAGCCAGAAGCAGCGCCGTATGGCACTGTAGGCTTTTCTTGACCTCATTTGCCGCATCCCGAGTGGAAGTGATGTGAGGGATGTGATCCTCTCCATGCATGCATATCCGCGGCATTCTGGCGCAATCGAATGTCCCCTCGATCGTTCAGGAGTCCGGTTTGTTATGAGGATCCAGACCCCGATGCAAGGTGAAAAGCAATCATCGGGTCCATAGATCGGCGAGCGATCAAGCGCACCCGCAGATGACCTCGCCCGCAGTATATGACACGCATGTACATGCACCCTTCACAGCAATCTGTTGGCTATCCCATCATTCTCCATCCAAATGTGACACAAAAAAGCAGAAACGCAATGTGGAATTACAGCCAGCCCGAGTTTCAATGCGGTCACGCCAGTGTATCGTTTTGCGGTGGTGTCCAGTCTACACGAGGACCCGAAGGCAATCTCAAGTACCGCGGTGATGTAGTCTGCGGGGAATGCAAGCCATACTCCCCAATCGTATGGGAGAGCATGATCAATCGTTCGTAGCTTTCCCCCTCACAATCGTGCTTTTGGCTAGTTCAAACAGCAATTAGACGCCCGTGACGATGGAGAAGGGCTGGTAGGCTCAGAGACCAACCTTGTACCAGGAGCCTGGCGTCTGACCGGCTGTAAAATCACCTCTTCCATAGCCAGGTGGCCGCTGGCTAAGACTTCAAGGTTCATAGTGATCCGCAGGCACTGTAATTATAGCGTCCTTGAGAGAGGAGTGCTGAAGAATGATTCCCATCGAAGGAGAGCAATGCCAAGTACCTCTCCCGTGATATTTGCGTTAACGCTATTGTTTGGTGCCACGACCGACAGTCGGCACTTCTCGCCAAAGATTTGAAACCTTTCGTAGGCTCTCATCGTCATGACTGCGGAAAAACAGTAAAATGTGCCTCTCCCTGCAACAAGGCCGTCCGGGTTTCTATCTCGTCACAGCTCGCGCGATATCGTCGAGCGCCGAGTCGAGTGCCGAGATGAGCCCGTCTATGGTGAACTTCGATCCGCTTGGAACGAAAGGACTGTTTGCGGACAGCCGGCATGTCGCGGTGCCCAGGTCGTTCCTCTTATGAGACCTTTTCCCGCCCTGAAACAATCATCCGAGTCGCCTATTCTCCCCGTAAACTCGACTCTCACATTTTCAATCGAGAAGGCCTCGCTGGCGATAATGGACGACAATACCACTCGTTTTCTCCACTGACTTGGGCATGCCGGCAGAGACTCCGGGGGCACGCCTGGCTCGTTTTCGTTCAAGATCACAACCGAGACAAAGGGACGAGTACGATCCCTCATCATTACGTTCTTCCCCTAATGTGTTCAGGTCACTGGCCCTCACCGAGAAGTCCCTTTTTCCGGCTGGATGATGGTCTCGGCCGTTGGTTTCCAGGAGTTCCACTACAATACACAAACGTTTCATTACAGAATGTTCATTTTGCTTCTGCACGATCCCGGCGCCCCGGGATACGTGGTATAGGGCTTGAAAGGCAGTTTTTGCGGCTTGGTAGCATTGAGAGCATAGGAACGGGCGCAAGATGCTTGAAGTGAGGCGTGATAGACTTCCGAATAAACCTAGCAGACTCTGCACACATCCTCTATACAGGATTCGCCCTGATCGTATCTTGGCGAGGCCCCCTTACCGGCTCCAATTCTCACTGGACCGACCGGAATGCCCCAGCCCAGCTTCGTTCTCTGTATCGAAAGCAGACGAAGTGCGAAGTTTTTGCTTCTCTTTCGTTGTTTTCGACCGCTGGGGGCTGAGTGAAGTGGCAAAGCGGTCACAGGATTGTGATCAGCTGCATCAAGGCAGGTCAAACTGAAAGAAGCTACCCGATGGGCCAACGTTGCGCTCAGGGGGCATCACTAAGACTTGCATCATAAAACTCGCTTCTCTTCAGCGGTGGCTCCTACCACGCCTGATACCCACCATGGTCACTTGGCTGCGTGCCAACTGGATGAGGAGACCCTGAGCTGGGCGAATGCTGCAGGTCCGCCAGGTCTCGAAATCCCAATCACTTGTAAATCGCGCAGCGCATTGTCGGGCTCAAGGTCTTGGGTACCCTGCAGCTGAGTGCAATTTTTCATTTCTGGAGCAGCCTCTATGGTGGATGCACGTTGCAATCGTTCAATGGTGTCATGCGGATGTGACACCTGAGTATATCCAGTATCCGCTACCACAGATGACGGTCTTCCTCCCGACAGGTCCGATGATTCGTGTGCGAGGCATCTCCAAGTTGAGGGTGGGTTTGTTGGAGTCACTCACATTGTTTTCGCAAAGCGGTGTCGCCATGGCTGGCGGGTACACTATGCCAAAGGCAGAAGCGGACGTCCGGGTCGCCAAGTGGTCCCATTCGCGAGGCTTTCGTGTCTACCAGTTTCTTCGCGC